CACGCCAGTCAAGGAGGAAGTAGGAGTTTGGTCTAAAGATGACGGGGGCACAATCTGTCACTGGGTTTGGTGTAGGAGTGAGAAAATCAGAAATTAGACATAAAGACAGTTCCAGTTGGGCTGCAGAGAAAGTCAGTGTTTAGCTAAGCAGTCATTAAGGGCCCACGCAGAGGCTGGGGTAGCTACCGAGGGCATATAGGGTCCCAGAGAGAGACGTCCATGTAAAAGCCAGGCACTTACTCCAACAAGCCGGTAGGAGACTGTCCTGTAGCAGAGATCTGCACCAAAGCTTCTTGCCTTTCATTCTATCCTCAGTGTTTGGGGGAAACATCTTTTTAAAATGAAAAGTTAATAAGCAGCCTTGATCGTTGTGTTCTGCACTGGGAGAGACTACTGACTGCAGGCCTGAGAGCAGCTGTGAGCAGGCGTGTATGCAGCACCAGTGCGACTTGTGCTGCTGAGACTTCAGACGTGGACCTATGCTGTGGGTTAGCTCATGGGGAGGGCACTCTGACTAAGAGCTTAGCCTGCTCACCTGCTGCCTCCACTCCCTTCTGGGCTCTTAAAAGGAAAATAACCCTTGCAGTGATAAAATGAGTCATAAGGTGCTAGTTGAATCACAGTAAAACAAAGATTCATTTAAAAAGCCTTGCCTTGAGGTGCCAACCTCAGGGAGACGCTGGGGCATGCTGCAGTGAGGCGGGAGAGTGTGGGGGGCGGTCATGTTGGAGACCTCAGCACTCCTGGAAAGGAAGGAAGAGCTAGGACTGGAGTGAGGCAGAACTTTCTTTGCTAGGTGTGTGCCTCGTTCTGCACTGTGGAAACAAATTCTTCACAGATAAGTCCCTCTCACTGCCTCCAGAGTGCTATAAAAAGAGAACAGACTAGTTTTTCTCCTTCAGAATACAATTACCCTCTATAAATACCCAGCCTTAGAGGGGATACTGCCTAGTTTTTTGGGGGTTTGGTTTTGGTTTTGTGGAGCCTGGAGCAAACACTCCGTCATTCAATGTACGTCCGTCAGCACAGGTCCCGGCCCTCACTGGTCAGCGCAGGTCCCTGGCCTTCACATCCACCAGCTGATCACTCACCAACTCAACCAGAGCAACTTCCAGCCCCACAGGCTCACCCATGACGGGTGCCCTGCACAGGTAGGACATTTACCCTTGTACCTTATGTTCACTTCTCTGTGTTTCCATACATATTCCAAAGTGCTTGCCATTGTGTTTGTTGCCCTCAGTAACACGCTATCTAGCTGGTAGCCAGGGTCAGTGTCTATGCTGTGTGCACAGCTGTGTGTAGGAGATACCAGCTAGGCCATGGTGCCCTCTGGGAGGTTCACATGACAGTGAAGCCATCTGATGCATTTCTCAGAATATTTCCTCATCGTCAAGTAATGCACAACTGTACTGAGAATAAACCCCTCAGTTACTCATAGTCTTACCAGCATTTACTTTAATTCAATTATTTATTACCTGAGTTGATTGTGGTTATGTGTTTACATGCTTATTCAAACAGGCTGTCAGGGTCCATGTTAGAGGCAGAAAAGGAGCAGGGGCTTTGAAACAAGGAGCAGGCACAGCTGCCCCCAAGTGCTGTGGGTTCTCACTCCCGTGGATTCTCATGCAGAAAGCGAAGGCAGGCCCTCATCTTGGCATTGGTGTGAAGGCTGAAGGAGAATGGCCATGCATGCTCAGCCGCAGGTGGAGAGAGGCTGTGGTCTTGTCACGGCCTGCTCTAAGGGTGGCCGATTGTGGTCAGGTTCCCCACGATCCTCCTCTCGGGATCTCCAGGTGCTCTGTGCTCTCTCTTCTTTTGGGTACTTGTGAGTTGTCCCCTGGGCCATTTCCACTTGTTTTCCTTCCCAGTCTGAGTTGTAGGAACCTGCCTTTGAAAGGGGAGGGGCCCCTTTGGGACGTGCTGGCCTTACATCATGGTGAAGGGCCCACTGTGTGTCACTGGGTACCCTGTTCATTCCAACCCATGTGCCATGGTCTGTTCCAGTGACAAGCAGCACCCCTTCCCCCGGGCTTTTGCTACAGCTCAAGTTAAAAAAAAAAAGAAAAAAAGAAGAAGAAGAAGAAAGAAAGAAAAGAGGAAGAAGAAGAAATGCTGTCTCTAAGGTCTTGTTCAACACACCTACACAGTTTGTACTTCCAACCACATGGTTCCAGACACAGATAACACTGACATCAGAGCCCCGGTTAACTGGCTCCAGGAAATGGGGCCAGATTCTTGGAAACAGCTGACCCTGAGATGGCACAGTCGAGCATAGGTGAGCTACTGTGAAATAAGTAAACAGAGTATGTGTCTTTGATTAAACATTAAACACTACGAATCACACACTGAGAAGGGCCTAGCTGTGGCTTAGATCACAGAGCCTGGGTTGGGGTCTGAAGGAGCCTCACTCTCGGCCGAGCCCTCACTGGGCCTGTGCTGTACTGCATTGGTTCAAATATAATACAGTACACATCATCACCGACTGGTAATTTTCCATTTTTATGCCAGACCTAGTCACTCACAGCACAGAAAAGCCGGTCTCTGAAACAGCGAGCGTTTCCACAGAGGACAACCTCAGACTCTGGGCATCAGCCCACTTCCCAGATAGATCAGGTCTGGAACTTTTAAGGAGGAGGAGGGACGAAGCCAGCTGAGGGCGAGATAGTGAAAGATCTATGCAGACACCAAACTTCAGCTGTGGTGGGTGTGTCAGAACACATTCTCATTGACCTCAGGGAGCTGTCATCCTCTGGTTTGTTTCAGTACTTTGCATGTTCTGGGAAAAAGACTCAAAACATAGATTGTCAGATTTCATCAAATTTGTTAAGGCGTCTGATCTACATGAGGCAAGAAGGGTGTTTATTCAAGTGTCCTGTGAGAGCATGCGATTACCTGCTCAGTAGTTAGAGTAGGCCGGGCTGGGCTTCCATCGCTCTGTCACGGGCACGCATGACCCTCACAGTGAGGCTAAGCTCGAGGCACATCCCCAGCTAACTGACCAAGTTAGGAGAGCCTCGCGCAAAGCAGTGAACGGTTCAGGGTCACTGTTGAGATCAGTGACATCTGAACAAAGAAGACTTCTGATTTTAGATCAGAGTCGAAAGTGAACATGAAGGAAGAAGGGGAGCTGTTCCCTCACGTCAGCCTGCCCTGGTGAAGTCTGACTGTGGGCCGCACCCATAGCCCCGGCGCCCTCACTGGAGAGGGGCCTTGAGACCAGCAGATGGCATTATGGTTACATTACTGGACTCCCACTTAGTTGACAGCAGTTTGAGTCCCAGACCTGGCAGCTTGAAATTCATGCCAAGCATGTGTGCATGCATGCCCAAAATCCTGGGAAGAGAATGGAAAAGAAGGGATTGCAACGTGACCATCCCTCCTTGCTGGGGGCGGTGGTCCTCACTTTCTTTCTTTTTGTTTCTTTCTGTCTCTCCAGCAAGTGCATATGCCCTATATCAAAAATAATCTCACAAAACAAAACACTGAGATTCATTTTGGTGGGAACTTAATAAATCTTTTATTTTTTTTTTGAGAGTTTCTTTCTTTCTTTCTTTCTTTCTTTCTTTTTTTTTTTTTGCTAAAGGGCATGTGAACTCCGAAAGACAGAAGGAGACAGAGAGATGGAAAGCAAGAAATCAACACCCGGAGGGATGGCCATGCTGCAATCCCTTCTCCTCCATTCTCCTCTCTCAGGATCTTGGGCACGCACATGTGCCTGGCATGAGTTTAAGCCTCCAGGTCCGGGACTTGAACAGCAGTCGGCTACATGGGAGTTCAGCAACATAGCCATTATGTTAATTGCTGGTCCCATAAATTGTTTTAGTCTGGAAACTCATACACTCCATTTCTGGAGAATGTTCTTGATTTTCAAATTGAGGTATATTTAACATACTGTGATTTGCTGTCTAAAGTGTGTGATGAAGTGCTGTTTAGTATTTTCCCAAAGTTGCATGACCATCATCACCATCAAATTCCACAGTTGTCAGTATCCAGAAAGAAGCCCTGAGTTCATTATCAGTTACTCCGGGCACCCACTGACCTACTCCTGGTCTGCATAGTTGGCTTGTCCTGGATACTCAGAATACAGGAGTCACCCTCTGTGGGGGGCCTGAGTCTTCTGCTGCCTGTCATACTGGGTGTGTGCCACTGCATGACTCGTGTGTGAGCCGCAGGGTCTTCAGTCAAGAGGTTCCTCCTGGTATTTACCTGGTCACCAGTGAATGGTCACTTGGGCCATTTCTGCTTTCCGGCTGTGTAATGCTGGTGTGCACACCTGTGCACGCGTATGTGGAAGGTGTGCCTTTAATTCCCTCAGGTACACACTCAGAAGTAGAGTGATGGGTAAAATGTGAATTTTATCTTTTACTTTCTGAGGAGCTACCAGACTGTTTCCAAAGCACCATTTTAAGTTCCACTGATTACATTTTTATGATCGTTTTCTCCTTTCTGCTTTCCTTTTTCTCTATTTGTGGAATTCTGTTTTCAACTCTAAAGATGAATCAGCAAAATCACAACTCCTTCAACAAATAAACTACAAGAAAAACGAAGAACTGAATAAGTTATATAGGCTTAAAGCACGTATCTACTAATAGAATGCATGAACCTCCTCGGGGAAGCAGAAGAACCGGCTTGGTCAGAAACCGCTGGCTGCCCTGAAGGGGTTGCGGTGTTCATCGTGCGTGTACATGTGTTTTTTTTTTTTTTCTTTACAATTTCCATTTCAAATATGAAATATTTATTTTATTAAGAATCATTTTATTTAAAACTTTATTTATTTATTTGCTTATTTTAAATTGACCAAAGAGGGACAGAGTGAGAGAGAGGGAGTGAGATAGAGAAAGTGAGAAAGCAAGCTGCCAGGTCTGGGACTCAAACTGTAGTTGGGCATGTAGGAGTCCAGTGGCCTTAACCACCATGACACCTGCTGGCCCCTCAAGTATAAAGTATTTCAAACATGTAGAAAATACAGACATTAATAACAGACATATGCACCATTGATATAAAACAGCAAATTTTTGTCATATTTGTTTCTTAAACAAAATATTACAAATATAGCTAAATTAAGTGTAAATTTAAAAACAATTTTTCACGTTATACACCAATTCTAGCTTCATAACCCCTAATGAGGTGAGAATTTAGCTGTACATGTATGTTTAAGTTTTCCATATAAAGAAAGTTCTAAAGTTCCTTTGGAAGCCCCACGTTTAAATGTTCGCAGGGTTTTCTTTAATCAGTGGTAATTCTCGTAGACATGGGCATGACTGCCATGAGGGAAGAGGTCCCCAGAACAGGAGGCAGGGCTGTCACGTGGCAAACACCAGACGAGACTCAGAGGGGCCAAGAGAAGCGTCAGCAGGGCTCCAGAGATGAGCATCAGGACCACGGGAAATGAGAAAATGTGTTTAAAACTCTTGTGGCATGGATGGTGGACCTCGCTGAAGAGAGAGTCCCTTGGGGGTTGAAACCCTGGAGATGTGGTATCTCTAGGTCCTTCTCCAGGTAAGAGTCCCTGGCCTGGGGTCACAAGCCTGGCCCCCAGCACCCTGGGAGCCCAGTGGCAGAAGGGACCTGAGGGTTCCACTTTTCAGTGGCAGATTTCCTCTCTTCATAACGTTGTGCCACCTGGTGTCCCAGAGCTTAGAGAGTTCCTGTTTCAGTTTCTCTAGAGGGCCACCTTCTGTTTCTTCTGGACTCAGGGAACAGTAGTTGATGGCCCACGAGCAGTAACCAGGGTCTTGGGGTCTCCCTGTCCTATACGCTCCAAGCTTTCTGTTCTTGCCACAATGTCTCCTCCGCTTACTTCGATACGTGAATCCCGAGTCCTAGGTCTTTGTAGGAGTCTGTGTGACTCAGTGTTTTCTGTAGGTGTCTCTAGGTGTGGAACGTTTCCACTGTCAACTCAGCCTCACCCATTCTGCTTCTTTGAGACTAAGTCCCAGCTCTCCCTGTTCACCCTTGACACTGAGTCTGGCATGCTTGGGGTCACGGTGCCGATGCCACCAAGATGTTTGGACTGAGTGCTTCTCTTTTTATGCAGTTGTGAGGGATCTCTGTGGACAAGGTCCCTGAGTGCCTATCAGAGCAGACCGAGACTGAGCCTCGGTCTTCCCAGGTTAGTGCAGATATGTAGTTATGTGGCTTGGAACGTGGTTGGAGCTGAGCTTGAGCTGATCAGCACTATCCCCAGGAAGAGCACACAGCTGCACACTTGCCAGGTGCAAGGGAGCTGGGCTGTGGCCTGCAGCATTGCAGTGGGTGAACGCAGGCTTTCCTGGTGCGTGGCAGGAATAATTATGTGCCACTCTGATGGAGAAGAATGAAGCTCAGGAGGGACTGCTGCAGATGCCACTGCCCCAGAGTGGGGCCACCCAGGACGATGCCATCGTCACCAAGCAGAGCAGACGGGGAAGAAGTCGAGTCCTAGGTGGACTTAACTAGCAGAGCCTCTCCTGCCTGATCTTGCCAAGAGACTAGAGAGTCGGGCAGCCCTCTCCCTGTTCAGGTCGGATGGGGCCTCACCGGAAGTCTGCGAAGAAGCGATGCTTGGGAACTGGGAACGTGGGCACAGGCTTTCCTTCCAGCTGAGTCAGTCACTTCGAGGGCACCAAAGAATCGGGTGTGAAGCAATTGATAGTGCTGCAGGGCTTTTCGAGCAACAGAGAGCTCCAATTAACCGAGCATCCTCGGGGACTGACAGAAGCAAAGGGTGTGACCTAAGGCAGTAGGGGCTGTGTCATTCTTCCTGC